CCACTGCTGATGCCAGACACCCTCTCCCTCGCACATGAGAGTGGCTTCTGCAACTGAAAATGAGTTAACCAATGGATGAACCAAACACAAGTCATCAGTGCCCATTAGTGGGTCAGTATACCATGAGCATAGGATTACTTGTGACTAGAATTTGGTTAGTCACAGCAGAGGAGGGCTTTTGGTAATAGGGATGCTAAAACTTTACTTTTGAAAGCAGTTTCAATTGAAACAGTGGCCTAATTTTAGATGAAATGACCATAAATATATAGAAAATTTAAGTGTCTTGCACGCCAAGTCTTGCTAAACCTAGATAGGAACAAAACCATCTCATCTCAGGGCCTCCCTGGTGGTACAGCGGTTGAGCGCTGGGTTGCGAAGCTGCCCGCAGCCTCTGCAGCACAGGTTTGATCCCTGGCTGCTCCCTGGCCTCCGGAGGAGGGTCGCACATGGCGCGCAGACCTCTCCTGCTGCCCGCTGCTCCTCTCAGCAGTGTATTTCATCACTCTGCCTGTTCTGCTCCCCGCTCTGGCTCTGGTGAATTCTCTCACCCTCCCGCGCTTCTGACTGTACCCAGTGCTTGTATAAATAAATAAAAATAAATTAATTAAAAAAAATTAAAAAAAAAAACCATCTCATCTCAAGTTCTCCTCTCCTTCCTTTACCCTCACCCACCCCTGATCTTTGTGAGACCATCCTTTTCTCCCCATTGCTCTTATAAGTATCTAACTTTTTTAAATTTACTCATTTTATTCATTTGCTTTTATTCCAGCCCTCTAAGGAAGGATAGAAATAAGGTTATGAGAGCAGGAACCTTGCTGCTTTGTCACTCAGGTGATCTCAGTGTGTAGAACTGTGCTCAGCAGGTGCACATGGCACATAGCGCTTAGCAAGTATTGCTGTATGAATAAATGGCCGCCACTGGAATCTCCAGGTGCCAATGCTCTTTCAGCCAATGCTCTTTCAGCCAATGCTCTTTCAGCCAATGCTCTTTCATCCGCAGTAGAAAAGAACACTGAAAGTCCAGAACAGTTTTCTCTCTACCAGTCCCTTACATGGTTAAGGAAATAAAGACATCGCAATGTCTACAGGCAGGCCAGGCCAAGAAGAAGAGCAAGAACACCTAGTTCGATTCTTAAGAATTTCTGTTCTGAAAAAGTCACTAAAGGCAAATAATACTTGGGCACCTATAAAGGATGAGCCAAATATAGCTTCTCAGTCAATTCTACTCCCTTTCCTCAATTTTTAGTAACAAGCAAAGTTCAAGGACAAGATCACAGAAAGAAACTAGTGATCGAAGCTCTCTCTTTTATAGATCCTGGTCTCCTGTTAAAGAGCCAAAACTCAAGCAATTAGTATGGCACTTACGCAAGAGATCAAACACAAAGTCAACCAAATCACCTGGCAATTTTGCTCCTAGTAATATACCCAAGAGAAATGAAATCATATGTCCACACAAAAATTTGTACATTTGTCTATACAATAACCAAATCCTTCCAAAGTCTGCGATCTGCAAAGGACTGAGAAATGCTGGAGACCCTGTGTTTCCCTCACAGAGGAAGAAAGGTATTTCTTCCCTGTAATTCATGGAGTTTTGTGAAAGTGATCCCCCTCCCCCTTACTCCATTGCACACACTTCTTCACTTCTAACTCTCTACAAGTTTGCCTTACTCTAATATTAGTTTGCTTTGGTCTATTACTTTATCTTCATTCATTCAACAGACTTTCAATGAGCACCCATTGTATGCCAGGGGCTATGCAAGACATGACACTGCAGATAAAAGAAAAGGCTTTACCTTCAAGGAGCTACCACTTTCAAAATGATTCATGCAACCACAGGCAGGAAACAGCAAAAGGAACAATCTAAGTGGTATTCAGCTGTGGGTGGTGGGCAGAAAAAGAATGCTTCATGTCTGGGTTTCAGAGGGGTGGGCTCATGTTCACACCGGAAATACACACACAGGTCTGGTATGCAAATATCTCAAAGATGGGTGGAGCACAGTGTGCAGAGGGGTGGCCCAGGAGTCAGATCTGACGGAAGCTAAAGACAAAAACCCACAGGCCATGACACCAAGCCAGCATTACTCTTAAATTCCACCTGGCTGTACTCCGGTTTTCCATTTTGTTTATTTTTTTTTTAAAGGAAAAAAGAGATAGGGGAGGAGGGATAGAACACAAGTTATTACTCAGCATTTCCATGGTGTTTAATGTTTGCAAAGCAGTCCTGCCCCCACTGAGTCCTGAAGGACCTGAAGTACTAAAGGAATTTGAGAACCCGGCCAAGAATTCTAAGTCCTTAGCAGATTTGTGAACCCATCATGGCATCTGGAAAGGCAGCCACTAATACAAAAATAATTCTAAAAAATTAACAATTTTAAACTTAACCCAATATAATAATCTCTGTAAAGCTGACATGCCCCTTGGTGCAGAATAAAATGAGTAGGCTCATACTCTAAATCTGTCCATTCTCACCTTGACACATGTCTGCTTTTACAGAACAGGCACTGGCTGACATCTTTCCTTGAGATGAGAGAATAACACAGCTGGAAATACTATATTGTAGCAACTAATAAGAAAATCAGCTTCCTGCTGTCAGGACCTACAGTACCTGAATCGTCATATTCAAGATGCAGCACTGATAAAGCAACAGTTTTGTGAGACTGCCAGCACTGCGGGCAAGCATACCACTGTGAGCGTGGCAATCCACTGGGAAGACTGTGGCTTTTGAACTCAAGCTCTGGAGGGTATTGGCACTGGATGCATTTGTATGTGAGTGTGTGTGTGTTCATATTTATATTTGCATTCAACCAAGTTCAATGACCACCTTAGCCTGGTCTGTAGGAGTCCCACCTTTAGTTAAAAATGTTCATTGGTCAGTCGGGAGACTGCCAATGAAAACACATACTTAAAATTACCGTTAATGTGAATCCTATGAGGACAAAGTGCTTCAGGCAGCTACTTCAAATACTATGTCGGGGTCACATAAAAAAGAAAAAAATTAAATATGTATTTACAAGATGTTATTTGCTTTATTTCAGATCTACTCTCTACACTTCCCTTCCACATGCCACAGGACAATTAGAAAATACACACACACACACACACACACACAAACTGAAGAGCTAACATTGTAAAGTAAAGAATTAGCAGTTATAAAGTTATAAAGTTGAGGCCAGCATTTGGTATGATTTTCATCTTGGGGCCTCTGCTGAATTAAGAAAAGCTTTCTGAGTGGCTGAGAAGCTGAGCAGCATTTCTGATGGCCTCATGGAGCCAGAAGGACAAAAACTGGATTCTTGCACAGCTCCTGAGAGGGCTTTCAGACAAAATAAACCAAGGCAGAAAGTATCACTTAGAGGGAGATAATGACAAAGGGTTTAATAAATATAAAGTAAAAGGTGGAATTATTTAATATAACAATTCTAAAACTGTATGCAACTAAAACAGGTCTGCAAATATATAAAGCAAAAAATTGACATCATTGTAAAGAGACATAAACTGCAATCATGGTGTAACATCTAACAGTTATTTCAGTAACACAAAAAGTAGGAAAAAAGTTAGCATTTGAAAAAATGTGTTATCCATAGAACATTGAACCTCACCAATCCTCAAATATTCATTATTTTCAAGCTCACACTGAAGAACTAAAAAAACTGAAATAAGCCTTTTACCTATATAATGGAAAAATGTGTGTGTGCACAGAGAGTAGATAGAGTGGATTAATCTGAGATACAACCTAGTAAGGCTTAAGGGAACAATGGTTTCCATATGCAAAGGGGTCCTTACAAAATACTTGGACTGACCTAGCGTCTTGCTGAAAGGGGGTGCCATGAAATTATTGTTTGTCTGAATCTAAGGGTGATAAAGAAAGCAAAAGAGAGGACAGAGTGGGAACAGCCCCTCTCTTTTCCTGTCCCTGGGTGTTGTATCATTATACTTTGAGTTGTATAGAAAGGAGAAAGTTATTTTTAGCCCTCTGCCCAAAAGTAAAGGGAGGAACAATAATGACAGAGTCCTCTGTACAATCAGCAGACAGCTTACTTTCCTTCTGGCTTCCTACCTCCTCTCCTATAGGCTGCATTCTCCTGTCCTGCCCTAGGAATTTGCATTAGATTCTAGACAACCACCTTTCCCATTCCACCATCATATGCATTTACATGGGGAGCCAGACCCTGAAAATCTAGAATTTCTGTTCTAACAAGGCTTATCTCATGAGAAAATTTGCCAAGCTTTCCCACTCATTATGAGAATTTCCCACCAATTTTAAGAGAGAAAATGGGTGCAAAAATTTGTTCTTTGTTTTGATACTCAACCTCAGTAGGCTGTTCTGGTCTAAATGCGTTGGATTAGAAATGTGGGAGAGTGGAGGAATTAGCTTTAAAAGTTTGAATTGGAGCTAGAAGGTGTGTTGGGGTAGACACAGACACAACCTCTGCTTTTCAGACAAATGAAGAGTCCCCAGTACTTCCCCATAGGCCACTAACAGGTTAACTGGAACCATCTCCCCCAGGCTGACCCAGTTGGAGGAAATGTACTAGGGCTTTCTGGACCTGCTGCAGTCCTGACCTAATTCTCTGAAAGAATCTCAGCAACACCAGTAAGTCCCAGCCTTATTTCTCCCCCAACCTGGCAACATTTAGGACTGAGCAGAAAGACCCACTTAATCAGCAGCACTTTTTCTGAGCTACTGCCAGCCCAGTGGCCCACATGTCTCCTCTGGAGACAGCCCTGGTCTGGTCTCCTGCATCCAGTGGTTGAGGCTCCACAATCACCACCTTCACAAATTCACATTCTTTATTCTGGTGTCTGGGCATGTTTGCACTTACGCATTCTGCAGACTATTTTGAAATCACCCTTAGTACAAAATCACATAAGCCAAGTACTTCCTGAATTTTTACTAGCACCACTTCAGGAAGTAAAACATGTTGATGTTTGCTCTAAGTATCTTATTAATAAGTAATTTCCACTGTTTTCAAGCCTGGCAGAAGGCCATCCAGACTTACCCTCATACATCTCCAGGATATGAACTGTGTCTCCAATCTGCAATGACAGCTCCACATCTTGAGAGGCATTGTAGTTGTAGATCGCTGGAAATGAGAGATAAAAGGTGGACATGGCATCAGCGACAGTGAAAATCATTAGATCACAATTCAGTAGTTAATGAAGTATTTGTTCAACAAGTAACTCTTTCCTTAATGATTTCAAGTGAGTCACCCACTTTCAAGCAGAGAATATCTTTCCAAGCCCCACTACTGGTGTTTTACAGTCATTTCTCCACCCAACAAATATTGGCTTAGTTGCCTGCTATGAACAACATACTGTATTAGAGAGCAGTAATAAAGTGACAGAACACACAGCTGTGGTTCCTGTCCCAGAGATTTCACGATCTGTTAGAGGAAGAAAGATATTAAATATATTATCACAGAAATAATTGTGATAATTATGATAGCAAACATCAGGCTACAAAGAAAACACACTGTGGGATTCTGTCGATGGTCCCTTTGTCATTCTGACACAAGCCAGCCTGTGTCACCACAGAGGTTAGGCTCTCAAGGATATAAAGCAAGCCATCTCCTGGCCTCTGACACAGTAATTCATAGCCAAATGACCACTTTCAATCCATATACTGTCCAATTACAGACTGACACAAGGTGCAGTGCAGGGGTGGCCCCTTGTTCCATTTCCAGGTACCCAGGGGAACTGGGTTGCCCCAGTACTTCCAGATCAAGATGACCTCAATTATCATGGTTCTTACACTGGCAATGACTAGGCCAGACCAAGAAAACCAATAGATTAACACTTATAACTCACATACACACAAAGGACAAATAGTAAGAAGTCTGAATAGACATTTTACCAAGACACACAAAGGGTAGCTAATACACACATGAAAAGATGTTTAACACATTAGTCATCAGGGACATGGAAATCCAAACCATATGCAAAAAAATAAACCAAACCAACAAACCACAAAAACCCTTATTTTAGGTTCCCATTTCTATGCAATGTCTTGAATAGAGAGTTTTGGGGGAGATGGAGAAAGCCTACACCTGGATTGAGTTGATGGGTACACGACTCTGTGAGTTACTGAAATACAATGACCTGTATATTTACAATGGGTAGATTTTCAAGTATGTAAATGAGACTTCAATTAAGATTTTTTTTTTAAAGTAGCTTTATTTCTTGCCCTTGCTTTCTTGCTCCTTCCAGGAAAAAAGGGCCACCTTAGAAATTCGGTTCTAGCCACTCAGTGATCCAAGGGACCCACGATGTCCCCCATCTCTGAAGTTCTGATGAGCACTGGAGGACGGGGTCTCACTCCATCTGACCGATCCCATAAGGATCATTCAAAAGGGGAGAAAGATATCCCTGTCACTGCCGGTTATGATGGTATCCCCCGCTCCTTCCTGGGTCTGCAGTGCATCTTATATCTGCAGCTTGGCAGTTGCCTGTTACATCACAGTCTATCAGTGAACAGGAAGGAGACTAACTGCAGCCACATCTTTTTCAAGTGGCCTCTTTTTCATTAAGGGAGTCACTCAAATGGTGTTCCTCTGTTATCTTGGCACAGAGACCTGGGCAAATTATGCTGGAATTTGTTTACCATTAAACTTTGAACTAGACTATGAATTCAGAACAAGGAAGGATCGGCTGATGAGGTGAATTTGGAGAAACTGTACAAAATTTAACAGTAAGAATCAGCTTCTGATTCCTGGACCTGCTCATGGGTCACTAGGCCATGGCTGCTAGTTGAGAGGTTCACCTCTACTATCTGCTAGTTGACTCAAATGTTTCGCCCACTAAGTTTTTGGCTGGTTTTCTGCAGAAAAGGTAGTCCTCACATTCTTGGATTTCCCTGGTTCTCATTCACTGTCTTCCATGGAACAGGTTGCGTCTACCTGCCCGCCTCTCAAATGCAAGAGGAAGTAGAGGTCCCTATGTCACAATGTCCCATGCAATGACCAAGCATCGACTCTTCCTCATTCTTAGTCATTAGGAAAGCAAGCAGAGGTTCTCAAAAGCAGCTCCAGGTAAAAATACCTACCAAGTTTTGTTATAAACACACACAGCCTTGTTTCTTCCCCTCCCACCCTCCATACAGAGTTCAACTTTTCTCCTTAAATCCTAGATTCTTAAGCCTGATAATCTTTTTTTTTTTTTAATCCCAGTCCTAATTATCCACCCATGCTTGTTGCCATTAACTGCCACATTCTACCTTCTGCTTCAATCAAGACATTTACCTTCTCTCCTAAACTATGCATTCAAGTCTTGGTTTACTCCACCTGAAACAACAACTCACCTTTTTCTCCCTAACAACTCAAAATTCACATCAACATTTCAGTTCAACAATGACGACTGACTCCCTATCACCCTACAAGGCTATTTTTCTCATGTCCCACTCAATTTTTCCATCCAGCACAGACTGAGTTTTTAATCACAGGTAACCTGGTGTCACAGTCTGCCATCTACAAGAAGGCAAGCCCTCATGAATAGGGACCCACCACATGTTACTTCTGTGTCTCACATTTTAAGGCCCTGGATTAGATCCCCAAAAGGTGCTCAAGGCCCAAAAGTAACATTATAAAATCCGCCAGTCTCTTAAATTATTCACCGCTTCTCCAAACTCGAGGACACTTCTGCTTTTCTCAGAAGCAGCAGCCGGACTTTCCCAGCACTGAGGAAAGGTGTATCCAAATCACCTTTCTTGCCACTTTATGAGTCGTACATAAGAGAAGCTAACTTTTCTAGTCAGGTTTTTTTAAAAGACTCACATAGGAAGTTCATCTCTTCAGCAATGTTTTACTAGAGTGAGAAATCAAGTCAGAGGGCATATATAGGATCTGTTTCATGTCTTTGGACCCAAGTACCAACAAAATATAGTTGTCATCTGTTCATGCCACCTCTACACTGCAGGGCATGGCCTCTCTCGCCCTCTAGTACGCTCCAATTTCCATGGTATTTTATGGTCTCACTTCCATATATAATAAATATACTCACTGCATGGAATAGATGTCATGTGTCCCATTATTTAATGAAGAAACTGAGTTTCCATCTGAGGAAAGAGAAGGGTAAGCATCTTGCTTCCAAGTAAATCAGCTTTATAAGCAACAAGCTGTTATGAAAGCAGCAGATCCTGTGATAACCAGGGACTCATATGGGGAAAATATACCCTGGAATAACCTGGAAACAAAGAGAAGCATCTAATAGTCTCTCAATATGTTGTCTGAGCTTAGATTTCTCTCATTAAATGAGACGCTTATTTCCAAAAATAAGTTTCTTTTAAAGATTTATTTATTTATGAATACAAGAACTAGGGTGCAGGCCAGAGGTGTGGGGGTGAGAGGATTCACCAGAGACAGAGTGGGGAAAAGAACAGGTGGATCCTCTGAAACACATTGCTGAGAAGAGCAGCAGGCGAAGACTGGAGAGGTCTGCTGCGCCATGTGGGTCAGCTCCCCGAGCAGGGATCGAATTTATGCTGCAGTGGCTACATAGTGCTGACACCTAACCAGGGAGGTGGCGCAAAATAAGTTTCATCATATAAATCAGTGAGAGTGGTCATGCTGTCAGTCTATGCTATTCTGAGAACAGGCACACAACTGACACACTCAGCAGATAATGTTTTCTCCCTAGAATGTGAATGACTAGTACAGAGAAAAATAAAGGGGAAGCAAAGCAAGCACTCAGTGTTAAACAAAATGGAATTAGACTCAACTCTGGCACTTACACATGGACGACCATGAATGAGTTACTCAGTCTGGGCCTCAGTTTCTCATCTGTAGACCTGGCTCTGGACCAGTAACTCTGACTCACGAGGTGATGGTAAGAGGCAAGAGAAACAAGATGTGCCCACTTTGAACTAGCAGGCACCACGGCAATCTCTTGTTTTGTCTGAGGAAATTAAACAAGACTGGGGAGCTGCTGTATATAAATCGCCTTGCTGGCTGCTGGGTGCAAGGTTGGGAAAGACGAATAGCTGGAATTCTTCCCGAGCAGCTTACTGTTTATAACAGGAAAAGTATAATTTGGCAGAGCCGAGCAGACAAGACATTATGTCTACAAATGTGAAATAGCTTGCACTTTACCAAATCTTTGGTTTTTTCTCTTGCCATGTTTATATGAGAAGAAAAAAAAAAGGAAAGAACTTGAGGTCCTGGAATTATACAATAAGAAACCAGTAAAAGAGATTTGCAGGTCCCAGCTAAGGATCACTTTTGATGTTAAGACTGTGGGTTACTGATATAATCTTTCTAATAAATTAGGTTTTTTCATGAATCCTCAAATGATAGCACCCTGAAAAATAACTACAGTACAATATTTTTAGTCATTGGGTAGACTCCACAAAGCTATAGCCAACATAAATTGAGGTACTGTATACTATTTGAGATGTAATCCATTCAGGATATTAAAAAGATCAAATTTACTCCTTTTATTATTACTTAATCTTCCTGATTTTGGCCACTAGTACTAGAATAATAAATCAGGTCGATCTCACCTTTGATTCTTACCCTGGATTTAATGCAATGGTGTCCTAAAAAAGCCAAGTGGACTTTTCTCTCTGGTTCTTTAATTCTATTCTACTATATGAATCAGAGAATCAGACTCAATAGCGAGTATGACCCCAAGAAGTAAAAATTTTTTTATGTTGATAATTCCATTTAGGCTCCAAACTAATCTTTTCAAATGCCTCTATACACAGAAGTAAACATGCCAGCAGCAACTGCTGAGGACAGAAACTTCTACATCCTAACCACAGCACACCACAGGCGCAAGCTCTCACAGGATTCTTAACTTTGTTTTCTAGACCATTTAGAAGAATAGAAAATTTAATAAACCCAGTTATTGGCTATTCCTTAGAAATCTCTAACTCAAGAATTGCACAGATTTATGGATGGAATAGATAAATATATTTAAATTGGAGAGGTATTTCACAACCCAACTATTGTTTATTGACTGGCTCACAAGTACCAAGTGCTCCCTATAAGTCATCTCATTTAAAATAGTATGAGGGCCTCCCTGGTGGCGCGGCGGGTTGAGCGCAGCACTGTGAAGCTGCCTGCAGCCTCTGCAGCACCGGTTTGATTCC